TGTCAGATTGCAAGGAGGCTGATAAAAACGTGGAGAGGTGTAGTGGATGAATGGATAGACGCTACAGAAAAGACGTCGTCGTGTGTTGTGCAGGAACAGGAAGAGGAAGAGAAAGAGAAAGAGAAAGAGAAAGAAGGTGTTATAAAGGCTGAAGAGAAACAAATGGTTTCTATGAAGATGAAGAAAGAATCAAGTCGCAGTCATGTTATCAAGTTGAAAATTAAAAGGAGTAACTCAGAAAAAGCAAAAATGGAAGAGAGGAATGCAAGTATTGAAGAGAAACTTGAAGCAAGCAAGAGAAAACTCCATGAAAGGTATTCGGAAGTCGAAAACGCAAAAAGACAGCGAAGGATACAAGTGGTGGAACCTCATCAACTCAAGAAGCAGGGCCTCATCGTCCCCAAAACTAGAAACGAAAACGGAAAATGGGGTGATTGTTATCACTGATCCAATTGTATCTTGAATATTTTTAGTTTCGAACAAAGCATCGAATTACTTACGTGTATATATATATAGCAGTAGTTGGTTATGATCAGATTACTTGTGGATTGGGCAATTCTTGATTCAGAGTTTCTTCAATCTTGAGATGTTTCTGTGTTTTCCATTTTGGTTTGAGAAGTTGAATGTTTGTGGATATAGTATGCATCTTTGATGAATATTGGCCTATACATTTGCTTCTGACCTTTCTGAGGTCCCATTTAGTATATTATATTTAGCATGCTACTGATGTACTTTGAATGTTGGTACTGGTTTGATTACGAGAGTCAAAATGTATCAATGGCTTAGAACACAACTCGAATAACCCAACAAAACTAAGTGCAACGGCTTGTGGATGACCTTTGCATCACTTGGATAAAATGTGCAACTGCAACCTTGGATCAACTAAAAATGGTGGATTTAAAACTTTGTTTTGGTATCGAAGTGGGAATAGTTGTTTGAATGCAAAAATAGATGATACACACTTAACCGCAATAGATGTAAAGAGATAGGGTTATAGATACTTTGACACCACTTTAACGTGGTTTCGTCCAACACATCAACACAATTCTCAAGATCGATCCTCTATACACATTTCTTTTAAAAGGAGAAGGAAAACCGTTGTATCCACAATAAGCTAGTATTCGGTTGGGGTAGAAAATGGATCACATACACTGCTTATTAGAATTTTAAGTAAAATCAAGTAAAACGAGTGTTTACGTTTTTTGTTTCTCACAAGCTAGTCCACATTTGTGGGATTTAATATAAAGTTATTACATTTGGGTGTATGTGTAGGTCATGAACGGTTCACATAAAAATGAAGCAACAAGGGGAAGTTAAAGCATACTTAGCAAGCATAAGTGTTCGAGTCTCATGTTGGTTAAATTTGGACAAATCTCCTTTATATATGTTGGAACATCTCTTAATTCTCTTTTTAAGGGATCTTTTTAAGAGTAATCCGAAGGTTCCACATATTCTACCATGTGGGACATCTTTGATCGGGGCTTGACACTCTTGGACATCTTTGTCCATCTAGCGTCAGTTGGAGGAGGCAGGTTATCACAAGATATAAAGCAATCTTCATGTAATAAAATATATAATTAATGTGTGGATAGAAATAAAATGTAAATATTCAGGTTTTTTTTTTTTAGAAATATAAATTGAAATAATAAAAAATTAAAGAAAATAAAACATAATTCTTGTTTTTGAGGATTTCAACATAAGTCATTGCTTCAATCTCGATCCTAATTAAGGCAACAAATCTTGATGAGATTGAGATATAAGAGTTCCTTCATTATGGGATTTCTTATGTATATGTATATCTGCCCAGAAACCCTGAAGGATCGACCATCAAACAAAAACTTGATCGTTTTTCTTCTGTTCTCTCCCTAATTCCAAATATTTGAAGTTCTTGCTTCCTGGGTTTCTCATATACATGGAGGACTTGAAGAAATCGGAGGCGGTGATGGAAGAGTGGAGAAATTACTTAAGGAGTGGCAATGCAGATATATTCGAGATCATCGAGAGAGCAATCATGGTGGCTGCATCCGATCACCCAATGGAGTTCCGGATGAAGAGAGACAAGATTGTTCAGACCCTGTTTTCCTGTGAGTTGATCAATCATGTTGAAGAAGGGAATATTGATTGTAAAGAGAAGATGAAGATGAGTGGTGATGTCGTCAAAAATCATCTCTGGGATACCATTAGTCATGGAGATACACAAGAAACTTTGGTCCATGAACATGATCAAGAAACAGAAATGGTTACTGATGATGAGGTTTTAAGGATCAAAGAGATTCTTGATAAATCATGTGGAGATGCATCTGAATCAGCAGTGGTACTTGTGTATGAGTCGTTATCGAAGCTTCAACACATGGGTATGTCTGTCAAAACTCTTGAGGTCACAGGGATTGGAAGATCTGTGAGGGGTTTTCAAAAGCACGGGTCGAGGGACGTCTGTCAGATTGCAAGGAGGCTGATAAAAACGTGGAGAGGTGTAGTGGATGAATGGATAGACGCTACAGAAAAGACGTCGTCGTGTGTTGTGCAGGA